TTCCTCAATAATTATTACAATCAGTCGAAACACCCTTCTTACGAATCAGTACAATAATACGAGATTCCTTCCACTGATGTGGCATTTCCTCCTCATTCCACATTGAGCAAAAAAGTTTGCGTGTCTTGAAACATAACGTTTCACCTCCCGCTTTGCTCAATTCAGCTGGAAGCTGCGGATTTATACTTTTTTGACTTCTCAATAGCAGTTTCCACTTCAGAAAGGCTAGGTTATGGTGCTAATATCTCAGCTGTATGTATGTCTACCTGCGTAATATCACGACCCCCATAAGCATTTAACACCAGGTTAAAGAAATTTGTCCATCTATTCAAAAACCGTGCAAGGATCTGCTAGCAGATAAAAATTCTCATCTTTGATAATATCAGCTCTAAGTTGGTAAACTTTCTAACGTTCATTTTGTTTTCATCGTCCATGGTCAGCTTGACCGTCATGACCCCTTTCGGGGTTTTCTTGTGAAAGTACCACGGTGGTATCGCCTTGCCTTCCATGGCCAGTCTTTACCCACCAGACTGGAAGAGAAGACACGGGCAATCAACCACGCCTTGAGCGGGACTAAAACCCACTGTCGCAGACGCCGTGCACGCGAGGACCGTGCCTCAGACCGCGTGGCCACTGCCCTGGCCATTCATTTATGACTCTTTATAAATTTACAATATTTTTGTTTCTATAATTAGTTTGAAGTTCATGAATTTTGTCTTCTTCATAAATGTTCCACTGTTTTCACATCTTAAATTTTGTAATTACCTCCACTGATTTGGCTTCAGTTTTTCAACCAATTCTAACTTTTCATACAATTAATTTCAAATGTTAAGTTCTTAAAAACTGAAGTCTGCAATCCCTTGATGATGTAATCAATTAAACACCCAGAGGTAAACTATATATATATGTATCACCCTGTTTAATATTCACTAAGACTGCACTTAGCCAGAGTAAATTTATGGGCTTTGCGCGATTCCCACAGTACACAGCAATTATCTCCTACATAACATTAACGACCCAATCTTTATAACGTAGACACTGTTTTCTTTGTGACACGGACTGAATTATGAAACATTACTTAAGTGAGCTTTAACTTCAATGCGATAATATTGATTAAACGTGTTGGGATAAATAGAACAATCTTAACAAATACTGCACGTTCTTTTAATAGAGATTCTCTTATTAAGTCTCTGTTTGATCTGTATATATGCTTTTTATGAATTCTTTGAATAAAATTGAGAACTTATCTGCACGTTTCACTTCCAAAACTACTCATCAGATTTTGATTAAAATGGCAGTGACCTTTACACTAAAAGTAGATGGGAAAATCCATTCTGGATCAACATAACCCAAACTTAACATGAGGTTTAAATCAAATGTTTTCTATTTTATAAGACAAAAATTATCACATAAAAATGAGTCCATTACACAAAATACAGAAATCATTAAGCTCTCCAATTATTATATGACATATTCGTTTCATGTTATGAGTTCAAGAAAAAATTATTGCATCAATACAAAGCCATATTATTACAATTAATTAAGCTTTAAACATCATAGAGAATTACCTGGAAAATACATGTTCTCCGTTGCACTACAACTTCAATTAATAAAACGTTGTACGTCTCACCTCAAAGAACAAGCCATCCACCATTGAGATTTCATCAATTATCAGGTGGCGACACTTGCGCCAGGCCTGCTGAATGTGAGGCCTTCTTGCCAGATCTATGCAGCGTTCCACTGATGCCTGTCCACTGCCAATGCCTGCAACAAATCACAACCAGAATTCTAATGATTATTCACACATAAGATTTTGGTAACTTTGAGAGGAGTAACGAAAACTTTAAACAGTATCTTTATATAAAAAAATAACTTCCTACAGTTCAGATTAACAAAGTCCTTTCTTACAAATAACAGCCCTAAAATGCAGTGCGGAAAAAACACAGACCGCTTTTGCAGCACTAACCCCTTGTAGGTTATGTGATCACTTATCAAAACCACTGCATAATAACAATGATGATGATGATGATGATGACAAAACTAACATTAATAGAAACAAACAACAACACTTTGTTGCTTTGTGATGGTTTCTGGATCCTTTCTTACACTTTAACTTTTAGGAAATGATGAAACAGATGATTACGAGAATGAGGATTTCAGAAATGATAAAAATGACCCCAGAACTTGCTTAAATGGAGTAAGGAAAGCCATGAAATTCCGTAGTCAATGTAGCCAATATCCTCCGAATGCAAAGCCATAAAGATTTAAAGTCGCCAATCTCAACTAGCAACAGCAGGTAACATTTTAAAATGTTTGAAACATAATTTACATAACTGATTTTAAGTTTTCACAGTGATTCAGTGTTAATAACGATCCTGCTTTTGGGTGCTTGCACCATGGGAAGGTGGGCTGTATTGCCAATATATCAGGGAAACAAAAAATACACTGAAAATCAGAGATCTCTAAACACAAACTATTAGCGTACTGACTGCCTCAACTGAGGTATCTTTTCGTTTGCTTTTTCTTTATCCTCTTTCAGCAAATGACAAGGTCTTTCCAATATTTATATTGTCATCATCATTAGCAACCATCATCATATATTCCTTAATTGTCTAATAGCTCCAAATATAAAAATAGCAAAGTTCTGCAGTAAACTTGAAATGGCAATGTAAAACAATACACACATATATTGTGACGTTGACAACTATCGACTATGGGCTGTATGTACGTAAACTCTGATTTATTTGGGAATAAATCAGTTTACAGAGTCCACACATACAGGCAAATCTCTCCTACTACAGTTTCTGGGTCTCTGCCTCTACACTTGACACTTGGCGCTCTTCACACACACAGCCCTCAGCCCATAGCACACCACTAGACATGCTGCCTCCTCAGCCGCCACGGTCCCACGGACCCGGTGTTCCACGCTCGCAGCCGATCCTCACGCTTCGCTCAGCGCCACACCAGACCGCTTGATGGCTCCGCACTCTCTTCATTCTCTTCCACCTTAGACCCCACACAAGACTCTTGCCACTCTTTTCGCAATACTTCACTGCCAGAACACTCGCTCTGTTGTTCCATTCTTTCCGCACCAGAGAGACCCTCCGACACACCTTCTACATTCGCCGGCCCAGTCGCGGAATGCTCCAGAAGCAAGGATCTTGAAGGTACGCTTACTCGAAGGTTCTGGTAAGGAGGGGAATGAGGCGTCTGGAACATTCTGCGGCAGCCACACCCACAGCCCGCATCTGCTAGCCAGGAAGGGGAGTTAGGCGGAACCTCCCCTCCAGAGCGAGCTCGCAGCTCTTTCGGAACCACAGATTGTCCACTGTTACATTCATATTTAAACAGAATAATTAAACCTGCAGTTAATTTCTGAACTTCAATGAAGCAACGAAAACTGAATTCTAACAAATTGACAACAGCCGCTGATAAATGTAGATTACTAAGCCTGGAAAGGGAATCTGCACCAGTGACACTTAGTACTCCTATCTCATTATAAGAGTCAGGTGTTCAATGCTCACCTACCCTTCTTGAGTTGTGACCACTTACCAAGAGGCTTCTCCCCAATCCAAAGTACATTTAACATGCAGCCAACCTACCAGCAAATGAATGCAGCGTAACTCCTCCAATGTGACAAGCTGCAACTCCTGTGCTCGCAGTGGCCACAGTGACATCTGGAGGTAAAGCGCCAATGATCCGGCGCAGCAGGTACGACTTGCCTGTCCCAGCACTGCCTGTGAACAAACACGACTGTCATTTGATGGAAGACATTCAGTCTAACTAACCCTGCTTGTGGCATTAAATCCTAAAATCCATACTTAACCCTTTGTGGTCCCTTTTAAGTTCCACTACGATGTATAAATTCAACTACTATTATGACCTGCTTTGATTTTCTTTTATAACTTGCATGAAACAGAAGAAACTTTGCTAAATCTGGTGAAAATATGTTCTGAGAGGATCACAGTTCTTCTTGTTTGAATACTGACCATGTGAAAAAATTTTCACACGCTGTACCACTGTCGCTAGTAAGATGTGTAGTAAGTGTTGCTTTTCTACTTGATGTTGTTCGGTAGAGAATAAAGCAAGACCAAGTCGACAGGTATGACTTTGTCGATGTCTAAACATCTCTTACTGCATGCAGATATACAACGTATATGCATTGGATTTCATAATATCAGAGCTATGCTTCCTTTTGCACTGATTGTTTCCAAAAGTTCAAGATTAAGTTCGGTACCATAAATTTGAAACAGAATGCGAAGTGTAAAAGATGAAGTCACTACACACACAAATAATGCTTGATGAAAGACGAATGAATATGCATATATCAGTGGTGGATTGCTCTATGGGTCAGAAATAATATACAAAACAGAATTTCATACTAGGAAGATGGGATATTTGTTTTATAACTTTATCAGATACAAAATATTTCTATCCTAAGTAAATATGGCAGCTACACACCCGATGGTATTCCTACACTGTATAATGTATGGCAAAACACTTGGTGTGGAATCCTGGCTTCCTTGGACAGGTGTCAGAATAAAGTGACATTTCTCTCCTGCATTCTTTCAATATTATAAGATAAACAAAGCCTTACCAGGGGAACTAGGATAGAACTAGTGCAAAGAAGAAGGCTTGAATGATATGCTGACACCGTTTGCCAGCCTCAGTTTGACTCCAGATCATATATAAAATTCGTAAAATACGTGGTGGACTCAGTCCGACATCGGACCACAAAGGGTCAAGCCTGCCAATTGACATGGTACTAAGCAGTTCAAATCACTTCCAACTGCCACAACCTACATATTTCTTGCAGGTCAATTGTGACAGTATCCTCCTGTTTCTGTGTGTCTTCCTTTACAAAATTTTGTACATATTTCTTTCTTTCTTAGGTTCAGTAAAAACATATTTAGTGGTATATTACTGACTTCTTACTTTAAAACTAAGATTCATATAGTGATATTATATAACCTGTCCACCATTTCCACCTGTTTAAATGTCAGTCCTATTGCTCTTTACAGTCTAGTGGCTCCATGCTGTAGTTGTTCAACAGTGACCCTGATTTTAATTACAGCTACCAAACACAACTTGTCAGCAGATTAAAACGTTTTTCAATAGTAACCTGACAAACCATCAACAGGAAGTTTCACACACCAATGCACACAGCTTACCTGTGAAGAATATGTTCCTTCCACTGAGTGCTGCATCCAGCACCTCCTTCTGCTCCTGCGTCAGCAAACCAGGGCCAAGTGGCAGTGACAGACACAACTTCTTTCCCTGCAACAATATTTCACAATTCATTCACAGTTTTTGCCCAGTGACCTATCACAGGAATGATGAGACATACCAGCCTGTGGCCTTCTTGTCCCTGTGACAGTCTCTTCTTGGTGCCTGGAGGTGTTATGGAGCTGAACTCCACCTTCTTCTTCACCTGGTTTATCTCTTTTATGCTCACTGGGCTGATCTCCTCCAGGTTTTTTGGCTTGCTGGACAACAACTGTGCCCGAGGCCCCACTTTCGATTCCCCCCTGGCCGCAGACAGTTTGATTAACATGGTTCTCAAGAAAGCCATTAAGTGGACCGGAGGAGCATTAAAAATAAGGAGCACAATATTCTGCTCAGAAAAATGGATGGAAGCCTTACCCTCTGACACAAACTTTTTGTGAACACTAATCCCTTTCAGGTGATATTTGCAACTCATGTTGTTATTTTGTAGCTCAATGTAAATGTCGCGAAATTCGTTCCTTATTAAACGTAGTGTAACGGTTTTGAAATTAGTTCTACGGCACATCGAATTCTGCGAATTCAGACATTCCAATGTAACACAACACACCAAACTTGAAGAATCCGGGCTTTGCCGCTCCATCCTGTTTAATAACCACTAAATTTGTAAAAAACTTTTCACATAACAGCACCCAATGGGCAAAGCACAGAAAACACCACAGATTATAAAAGCATCTACGGTTAATAAACAGTTTATATTTCCTTTGACATATATCACCAGACTTTATATCGAGATATCGAAGCAGGATGTAGCAAGGACGGTAGGAAAAGTGGCTTTAGGACATATACTAATTATAGTTCGGAAATAAATTAAACCAGTTAGATGAGTCGACAGAGCGACAATGTGAATACAGTATGCTTGATACAACATGGCCATCATTAAATAACAGTATGAAACACGTTGCG